AATGTGGAGTTTGCAAGAAGGTTGAAGGGTGAGATCCTGTCCTGCAGGTCCTATGTGTGGGTTGATTATTTGGGAAATGTAGGAGTGTGGTCCCTGGCAAACAAGAGTGCAGAGCTCAGAGCATGTATGTGCTGCCTGTGGCCATGGGAAGCACTGGGCAGTGACCATGGATGTGTGAAGGCTGTGGGGTCAGGGATGGAAAACAATTCCTCTTGGATGGAGATTCACCATAACACACTGCACAGCCTGTTCTGGTTGTCATTAAAATGTACCAGCTCTAACTCCAAAGGCTGGGAATGCTCAGCAAGGTGTGGGAACTCACTGGCAGACACAGCTGCTTTCTCTGAGCTGTTCCCTTGCCCCTGGGCTCTGGAAAAATCTGAAAAGGGAAGAAGTCCTGGTTAAGGAGAGGTCAGTGTGTCACCTTGGAGGGAGTGCATCAGCTTTTGGGGGGCTGCAGAGCTGAGCTGCTCAGGTGGGTTAGCTCCAAATGCAGGAAATAAGATCAGTGTTGTACTAGTCCTGAGTGTGAATGGTTGTTCTTTGTTTCCAGCTGTCCTTGGAGAACTTTGGGTTGGTGGCTACAGGTTTTGAGGCCTTGAGCAACCTGATCTAATGAGGAGGTGTCTCTGCCCAGGGCAGGGGTTGGGACTAGATGATCTGTAAGGTCCATTCCAACCCTTAAATTCTATGATTCTACAGAGAACTGTGGAAGGACAAAACCCCCAAGAACCTTTGGGGAAATTCAGACAATAAGCACAGAAGGTTTTGCACAAAGAGGTCCCTGGAAAAGGTGTTTTTATAGATTTAGTCCCAATATTGTTTAGAACTAACAGCACAACACTGTGTTAGTGCCAAGCTGATGTTACTGCTCTGACTGGGAAGAAGAGACATAAACAACTTTGAGGTAACGTGTGGGGAAAAAAAAAGCTCTTGTTGAAAAATTGCAAGTGCCAATAACTGAATGAAACATTTCTGTTGCTGTGGCTGAGAAAAGCTCTCTAACAAGTCAGTGTAACTCTGTGGTTGTTCCTCTTAGTCTTGTTCAGCAACTGCTCAGATCTTGTTCTTGTCCTTGGTAGGACTTTGGATATTAACCAGGATGTTTAAGGCATCATAATTTTTAGTACAGCTCAATGACTTAGAATTGGATTTCAAGCAACCTCAGGCCTGTGGGGGAAGGAGAGCAGTGGTATCACATCCTGACCTGTATGTTCTCCTCCTCCCCAAACCTTGAGTGTCTGTGTGTGTAACCTCCAGGATGGGAGTGAACTGGTGAGGTCTGGACTTTTAACCCAAGGGCTAACTTGTTGTTCCTCTGTATAATGATTTGCTTTCAATAATGCATCTCTTTTGGTTTGAATGGAAGTAAATTATTTTGCTTCTTAAGTAACTTTTGTAAGGAATAAACTTTGAATTTTGGTTGTTTCTGTTGTGCTCTGGGGCGTGGGATCCAGGAGGGAATTAAAGCTTCTCTCAGTGCTCTCTGCTTATCTGTGGGATGAGATTGGTTCCAGTTTTCACCTCTGTCATGGGGCATGGACATCACTTCAGTCTCTGCATCCTGGGTCACTGCTGAGTCTGTTTGCCATGAGGTCCATCCTAGTATTTTTGCTGACTTTGTCCTTAGTATGTCAAAAAAAGGAGGGGGGAAACTTCTTCACTTGGTATTCCAAGGGTGGAAGCAGCTCTGAAGTTATTGCTCTGTTCCAATCTGCTCTGTTAGGATTTGAAGATGCTTAATTCAGCTTTCTGAAATACTTCCCTGTTGGTTTTCCTCCAGCAATAAGGCAAGTTGCATCAGACCACACATAAGTAAATGTGCTTTGAGTGTGTTTCTCCTCAGATGTTGTGTCAGGCCACTGGAACCCAAAGTCCAACCTGCTTTTTGTGCCAGGAATTTAAGACTAGCCCCTCCAGTAATGGGCACACAGCTCCTGGCACTGTGCAGCTGCAGTAGGCACTGCCTGTCCCTAAAGGATCCATGGGGACTAGTGGGTGCAAAAAAAGACAGTGGGTTCTTGGCTTTTGGGGGAAGTTTTCCTCCAAGGTGACTGTTCACTGTGACAATCAGAGAGCCAATGGAATCCTGGGCTGCATCCACAGGAGTGTGGGCAGCAGGGCAAAGAGGTGATTCTTCCCCTCTGCTCTGCTCTGGTGAGACCCACCTGGAACACTGCACACAGTTCTGGTGTCCTCAATGTGAGAAGGACATGGAACTGTTGGAGCAAGTGCAGAGGAGGCCACCAAGTTGCTAAGAGCACTGGAGCATCTCCCCTGTGAGCACAGGCTGAGGGAGTTGGGGCTGTTCAGCCTGGAGAAGAGAAGGTTGTGTGGAGACCTCAGAGCAACTTTTCACTCTCTGAAGGGCCTACAAGGAGCTGGAGAGGGACTCAGTGTTAGGAACTGCAGGGACAGGACAAGGGGAAATGGGTTCAAACTGAAGGAGGGGAAGTTTAGGTTAGATATTAGGAAAACATTTTTTACTCTAAGGGCATTGACACAGGTTGCCCAGGGAGGCTGTGGCTGCCCCAGTCCTGGTGGTGTTCAAGGCCAGGCTGGATGAGCCTTGAGCAACCTGATCTAGTGAGGAGGTGTCTCTGCCCAGGGCAGGGGTTGGGACTGGATGATCTGCAAGGTCCATTCCAACCCCTAAATTCTATGATTCTGTGATCTGTTCCTACAAACTAGTTCCCACCTGAAGGACTCACTTCACTAGCTTTGGCTGCACCTTGGAACTGAGTCTGATTTCACCAGCTCTAGAGGAATCTGTGCAGGGTGTGACAAAGAGCAATGGGAACCATTGTGAGAACTGTGATAGAAGAACCTGCTGAGGCTTTTCTCAGTGTTGGGTGTGTTGGTCAAAGGTCCAACAAAGCCAGGAGTGCCTTTGTGAGATCCACATTACCTCCTCTGTGTTCATACTCCTCTTCCTCAGGGACAGAAACCATTTCCTAGCAAAACTTGCTGATTTCTGTTTGCAAACTGTGCAATGGCAGCTCTGCCAGGGGAGCCAGAGGAAGATCCTGCTGGAGGAAGACCCTAAACTGCCAAATTTGTGGTATGTCAGAACATTTTCCCTTGGCTAGACCTAGGTGGGATGAGAGCAGCTCAGAGCTAAGTGAGAGGGTTTAGAGCCACTCTGAAGCCTCTGGGTGTGAATCACTCCCTTTCCAGCTGAAAAAGAGTGGGAAGATGTGTTGTCTGTGCTAGTCCTGGAGTTTGCAGAGGCTGTGGATCTAACTTTAGCACAGCATGCCCAGGCTTTACTCAGATTTCCACCATGAACCCAACCAAGTTGACCCCGTGATTAAAAAAGCTGAGGGATCAAGAGACCTCTTGAGGTAGGTGACCCCTGTATCCTAAAGGTTATTTTTGGTTTCAGATGTGACTCCCAAGGACTTGATGTATCCAGGAGGGTTAAGGGAGAGCAAACAAGCAGGAGTGAGTTTTTCTTGACCATAATGTGGTGTGGAGAGACTCAGACCTGGGGATGGGTCAGAACAATGAGAATTCACAAACTGAGGATTGTATCAGCATGAGAGAGGAGACCAAGACTGTAACAGCATCACAGCTTCGCCCTGTGGCTGCACCTCCCCAGGCTGAGCTGGGAATCAGTTCATGTTCTTGGGGAATAACTGGGAAGTGAGGCCAAAACTCCCTGAGTTCTGGAGAATTCAGCACATTTTGAAGTTGTCCCCATGAAATACTGATCTTCCAGAGAATTTCTGGATGCTGTGGAAGTTGTCTCAGCTGGAGATGCTGCACCAGGTCTCAGCTCACCTGACCTCACTGACTAATTGTGCCACAAACTTCCCATGCACCTATGGACAAAATCCATGGCTTGTTATTTCCAGCTCTGTATCTTATGCAAGTAACTCTCACTTATTCCAGCCTTTCCAGAGCTGTTCCTGCAAAATATGACACAGGAATCCCTTGGATGCACATTTAATACCAAACAAGGTCTTTTCCAGGTGGATTTTCTGTTCCCTGCAATGCTGTGACCAAAGTCACCCTTTAAACCAAGGCCAGACTGTGTTGGCTGCAGCCCAAATGCTTTGCTTGAGTTGTCCTATTTCAGGGCAGTTTTCCAATGCCACCAAGAACTGAAGTATAAACAAACAGGAGATGACTCTGTTTCACATCAAATCTCTTGAATCCTCCTGACTGTTTAGGTTTACCTCTTCCCACCATGTATCTCAGTCAGAAGCTCAGAGTGGGAACATGCAAAACAAGACAAATTCTGGCCATTTTCTTTGGGCAGGAGCTGTTTTCTGGTTTCAGGTGAGAGCTGAAGAAGGTTTGAGAACACCCTAAAGGTCTGGGTACAGCCCTCAGTGCCAATGTGTTGGAAACAATCTGCTAACTCAAGCCAAGAGCTACTTCCCAACCTGATATCTGCTCTGCCAGACCCACATGTGTAGCTTAAGGGAGGAGTTCCTTGACCCACCTTGGATTGTGCTGGTCTCTAAGATACACCTTGGTTACAGCTCAGCACACATGATATTTGGTTCTGTATCAATATTAGGATACAAAGCTTGATAATGGCAGTTCCTGAAAGGCTCAGGTACAAAATCTAACTCCTTGCACCTTCCTTGTGTTTGTTGGATTCAGCTGGGAAGATGTTAGGACATTTGGGCAACTCCTATGGCTAAAAATCCAGGTTTTTTTCCTCTCTCAGGAAAGAACTCTGAACAGCACAGGTAAGAGCACATCATTTGTTCTCATGGAAACACCAACCCTCTGCCCTGGGAATTTCCTTGGAACCACTGGTTCAGCACAGAAGGCATCAGGTTTAGCCTCTCTTAAAACACTGAATTCCACAGTCCAGGTTAGAAACGAGCAGCTCTCTTGGGAAACAGCATCTGGCCAGGCAAGAGGTGAAACTGTGTGAAATATAAAGTGAAATCCTGACTCAAAGAAAAAAAAAACCATTAAATACGAGCCCTGGTTTCACCTGTTTCACTGCGAGTGTTTGTGGTTGCACTTTAAATAGTGCCACAGTTGATCTCTGCTCTCCTTTTAGAGTGGGAGAGTCTGGTTACAGGGAAGGGAAAGCTGTAAAATTAGTGTTGGGCTGTGGTGCAGTCAGTCAGCCCCTTGGGCTCGGGGACTCGGGGGTGTTACTGAGGCTCCTCAAACTGCTGCAGAGATGTCCCGGGTGAGAATTCCAGGTAGGTCTCAAAGCAAACAGTGAGCCAAGGAGCCCCAGGGCAGGCTCATTAGCCCTCAGCCTCAGAGATGTGGATCTGTGGTGTCCAGGGGACCTCGCTGGGGCCTTTGGGCATTTTTCTTCCTGTTTTTTTGGCTAGTTCAGTGAAGAAATAGTGTTATTGTTTAAGTCTCGCTCTGCTTGTACTGAAGCAAAATATTATCTCTCCTGCAGTGTAATGTGTCCTGTAATGACACCATGAAATCCCTGTGGAAGGGGACTGAGGGATTCCAGGAGTGTCTGGCCAAGCTGGTGACACTCAGAAGATGTGGGGTCTGCAGTCCCAAGGGGATGGGGAGCACAAGTTGGGCAGCAGGAGCAGGGCCAAGCCAGACTCTGCAGAGCAGTGCAGAGGGACATGTGAGAGCCACTGCAGAGCCCTGAGGGATATCAGCACCAACCAGCTCTGATAAGAGCATGGTTGGGATTGCAGGGCTGTGGCATGACAGGCACTGTCCTAGGACGTGAAGCTGGGATTAAAGCCTGGCCCTGCACCACCAGTGGGAGGTTATGAACCTTCCTGAGTGTAGTTTTCACCCGCTAAGGAGATGAAAGGTCAAACCAGGCATTTCTGGGATGCTTTGTTTGCAAGTGAATACGTGGAGTGAGGTGCCAGGAGCGCGTGTTGCACAGGCTGTGGGAGCTCAGCAGCTCCAGCCTGAGCTGCAGGTCAGGTCAGGTGGAAATGGCAGGAGCTGCACCCTCCAAGTGTTCTGCTGCCCTGTCTGAGCAGCAGTGAGGAGCTGTGAAGTGCAGTGCCTCAGCTGTCTGATCCTGTTAGGGAATAAGTGGAGAGGTGACCACAGGGCGATGGAACTTGGCATCTCTGAAATGACCATCCATCCTGATCTTCACAAAAGGAGGGAGAGTCATGGGCAAAAAACAGCCAGGCTTG